ATATATTTTTGCTTATGTAACATAAAGAAATCAGAGTCAATGTACATAGTGTGAAGTGAACATTTTATTTGTGTATTCCGTTGTTCGAGATACGTGGATAATGGGCCAATATTTGTCATCCTTGCCAAAGTAATCAATATGAGGATTCTAAATAGTATTTAACTTTTGTTAATTGCAGCACATAAACAAGTATGTAAAACAATAAACTATTACTGCTACGATCAAGTATTAGAACTATTCATTAACACAATTTCAACTTACGGAGATGGCGGAATCCAAGCTTGTTCGCTTTAAGGAAAGACAAATGACAATAACTTAAGATGTAATCTTTTAGATTGATATTTTGGTTGATATTCATGGTCGATTCTTATTTAACACCGTTTTCCATTTGATGACACAAATCGACACAAGCGTCGTTCTATCTTTCTTGATATTCAGAGAGTAACAAAGATAGAACGGCACTTGTGCCGACTGTGTCTCCTAAAAGGAAAGCAGCCAATGACTATCTTAAATACAGTCTTTAGATATCATGAACCAATCAGAAAGCTGCATTAGCCTCTTAAGATATTACTTAAGATGGTCTTAAAATAAAAACCGATTATAAATACTGGCCACAGTCTGTTCTTATTTCAAAATCATTTTAAGGGAATACTAAAGTAACCGAATTATTATCGATATTATAATCATATAAAAATTTTCGAACTAACTGAATGAAATAAAAAATCCTTTTACAGAATTAAAGCAGACGCAAAATTATGGAAGTGCAGTGGACTTTATACTAAAATAGAAAAAAAAGTTAAAAACACTTAACTTTTTTTCCATTTTAATATAAAGTCCATTGCATCATCTCTCATTCAGTAAATTTGAAGATTTTTATACGACTGTAATGTCAATAATTTGGTCACTCCAGCATCTCCTTGAATAATGTCTTAAGATATTAAAATACTATTTTGTAGCCGGTATTAATAGTCTATTCTTATTTTGAGACTGTCTTATATAGTGGTTTCAAATGCTAATACAACTCTGTGATTGGCTTATGACATCTCAAGACTACACTTAAGACCACCTTAAATATGTGAACTGACTATGAATACCAGTCTGTGATTTAATTAAATAATTAGATAGTTTATGATATCTTAAATTATATAAAAAGCGATTTTAAATATAAGAATCGACTTTGAGAAAAATATAGAAATGAATTAAATAATTTATACGAGTCATCGATGCTATTACGACACTTTCAATGACAAAATTAGAACACCAACTTACTTCTGTGGGGTTTGCAATACACGTAGTCTGGAGCTGTCCATTGGTATCCATTCATCAAATCTCGAACTCCACTTGTCAAAGTGTATTAAAACTTCCCTTTCGTCCCAATCTGTTTCTACCACTTTTGCAGAATACCTGCGCATAAATATTAATCAATATATATTATACTTATTTCATCAAAATTTTTAATATAACTTTTAATTTATCTTGTCCATACAAAGTTGCAAGCACTTTTTGTATCGCACAATAATTTCTCGTGTTTTCTTCTAATATACATTTTTTATTGAAATTGTATTTGACGATACTTGCCACTTATCGTTAAAGTCTTTCGCTTCCAATTTGGCACCAGGAAAAAATTTCAAATCACCACGATTTAAAACTTTTGGTTTCAAGTCTTCTGATTTGTCGAATTCCTTGTTGCCGGATAATTTTAATTCCTCCTTTACTATTAAATCTTTGGCACTAGTCTTCATTTCTGTTTCTGGCTCGACGATACCAAGTTGCATCGCTACTGTATTCACTTTATTATCTGAATTTTCGGTCGGTTTGTCCATCTTGGATATTTTTCTTTCTTCTTTCGAATTTATCATTTTGTATTCATTATCTGTTACTTCTGAGCTATCAGGGAGGTTTAAGGAATCTGCCGACGACTCAGGTCTGGAATAACACGTTTCGCCGCAACTGTCGGATTTAGGTGTTCTCGCCTCAGATAATAACGGTGAGGCAGAATGTTCCAAATTTAGTATTTCCGAATTGATCAGATCCAAATCTTCTTGAGCGTACGACGTAGAAGACTTCACCGACATGATAACAGGATCTGAAAAGGCGGAAATATAATTGTTCACCTTGATAAAAATTGTATATATACAATCTTTATCCATGCTCTATGCCATGTGAAAAAATCAACTAAAATAAAATAAAACCCGATAAAGTTATTTCAAAGAATTGTATTCTTCCCAAGAAAAAAAGAACGTTTTTAATATAAAATAAAAAGAAGGGCTATGAGCCAGTTAAAAATAAATTAAGAACATTTAATATTCAGAAAATAAATACATTAACAAACGTTTCGACACCGATCGGATCATTCTCAATGTTAAAACAAATTTAAAGAACGTTTTTATTTTTATAAAAATAAGCTGATAAGGCTGTATACAGAATATCTCAAATTATCTAGTTTTATCTCTTTTCTAATAGGTTTTACAAATTTAAAATAGATGGATCTTTTTAAAAATATCGAGACGTCAATAATTTCCAGATTAGGAAGTTCGCTTCTCGTGAACTACATTTCAAATGGAAGAAATGAACAAGAAAATTGTATTCTTTAGCAAATTTTAAATGATGTATCCAAATTTTAATAATTTCTAGATTAGAAAGTTGTTTCTTGTGAATTAAATTTCTAATGGAGGAAATAAATTTAAAAACTTGCATTCTTTATAGTGAATCTCAAGTGGAGCTTCCTCCAAATTTTAATTTTCTTTTGCTTAGGAAAAATAAATTCAAAGTCAAAGAATCTGTCACTGTGAAAGGTCACGTGATTCTTTTTATATATATATATATATATATATATGTAGAATCAAATTTGCGATGTTACAGTGAAAGCATAAAATTCAATAATTATATGTTTTAAAATCCAATAATTGTACTATTATAGTAAATATATACAATTATTTAAAGTTCTAATAAGCCTAAAGAATAAAAATATATTTACTGTCATTAATAAATTTATACACTTATCAACAAATGTATACACATAATAATACACTGTAGTAAATGTCATATCAATTGACGTAAATTTTTGCAATTGTACATTTTATCAATAAATGATTTATTATTTGAACTGTATAAATAATCAATACTTTTTTATTTAATTGAAATAAAGGGATGAACACAAAATTATAGATTATAACATAATCTTTGATTACATGGAAATACTTGTTATAAAACTAAACAAAATTTTTTTTAATAAATAGAAAACAAACGTATTCTTATTACGTTATTTAATAAAATATGATCTTCGTTTATTGCACAAGACAGTAGACATGGCACTTTGAAGTATGCTCCTTTATGCCATTTGTAATATTCCATTTAAAAACACCTGTTACATTAGAATAGTAAGTATACACATTTGCCAGTATATCGATTTGGCTTTTAACATTTTTGAATGATAAAATTAGTACACGTAGCTTTCTAATGAACGACTACTGATTTCATGCTTTTACTATAAAACACTAAAAAAATGCTGTCGCGCCGCATTGCGAATACCGGCTTAGAGAGTTATCGCCGGCGAACATTCGAACGTCGCTGATCACTCGATTCTATTCTCACACGAGCGTTCGTTAACGCTGTCGGACGACAATGACACTGTCGGACACATCGGTGTGTCGTTAGAAAAAGCGGACTTTTAGAATAGAGAGATCTACCGGCATGACGCCGGTGCGACGTAACACGTTCGCGAGCTCGAAGCTGGCGCTCCTATATGCATGAAACAGGCGACGAGGAGAGGTGAGGGAAACAAGGAGAACACAGCGGAGAGGGCACAAGGTAGAGCGAAACGAGGGAGAGAGGGAGGAGAGTGTTCGCGCGCGCGCACGAGAGAGAGTGAAAGAGACGGATGCGCGAAACGCAACTACGTTGCGTTTTACGCCCGATGTGCACTTCGCTCTCGCGACACCGGGCGAACGGACGTCTCTCTTCCCTCGTCCGGCTCTCGCCGCGTCACACGTACCGGGATGATCGTCATAGTCCACGAAAATCGTGGGTACACTGCCCCGCTTGAGTAAGAGCTTGTGACCGCCCCGCGCGGTCTCGTAGTCGGCACGTTTAAAATGCCTATGGCAGACGACCTGGCCTGGCGTCGGCTTGAAACCCGTCTCGAAGCCGCCGCTGGCCAACCACCTGTCCCTTAGCGCGATGTCCTTGGGGAATTTGTGCAGCGGCAATCCTTTGGCGCGCGCCTCTCGCACGTCCGCTTTGCAGCTATCAACGCAGCATTTGCGCGCCATTCCCATCGCCCCCGCCGCCGTCACCGCCGCCGTCACCGCCGTCGTCACCGCCGCCGCAGAAGCAGGTATACGCCGCTTCATTTGTACTCCGCCGGCCGCTACATAGCGGTTTGCGCAGGACGTTCCGCAGCGCGGAAACCGGGTACGTGCGGTTTCCGCGTGCGGACACTCGTACGTTGGACAACACTCTCTGCACCGCTCCGCGTGGAACGCGACCTTAACGCTTCGCGCGGGATGCCGTGAGTCGCTCCTTCTTTTTCTCTCACACTCTCTTTCTCCCTCGCGCCGCTTATACGAGAACCGCGCGAGCTACTCCGGTACTTGTGCGGTCTGCTCCGCCGCTGAAAACGCCCGCGAGACGACCGCTCGACCAAACGTTTCGGCTACACGCGCGACACTGATCAACCGATCGATACGGCAGCATCGAGCAGCCGGAATTCTCCGATGTCGCCGTAGTCGCCGCGACTCGATCCAGTGGCGCTGGCGTCGTGCGAGTGCGCGCATGTCGGGCCCGCGGAAAACCATCCCACGTGTACCCCTCTACAGACAAAAATACGGAGTGTTCTTTCTGGAGCCTGGAGTGGAGCATCTCTCGCTCGAGTCTCGTGACTCTCGCCATTGTTGCATCATGAGTCGCTGATATTTCCAAGAGAATCGCGCGTCCATCTGTTCTTCATCGAATAAAGGAAACGGTTAATGTGAATTAGTAACTATAAAAGGCTGAAAGGATCGTTTAAATATGGTAAAGTTTATTTAATAACATCACAGATACAATAATTATGTACATAAGAAAGCGCCAGCATTTTCGGGCTGTCCGCTTCCGTCTCTATCTCACTTGTCAACACTGTAAGCACTGAAGTACTAAGTTTCGGGGAAAAAAGGTGCTGCGTACAAGGGCGGATATTTAACGACTTCGACAAGGATAATTCCGCTCCGAGTTACGAAATCGTATAGTTTGAAAATTATTCGGTTCCACGCGTCCAGGACGCGCTCCATAACTCCGAACCGTGAAATTTGGCTAATCACCTTCCAAACGCACGGATTTTTTTAACGACCGTTTCCGTCTCCGAAGTATTATAGATTGTCCTCGGACGAAGACAATTTGTCGAATACGTAAAGTTTCAGTTGAGCATCGTGCCTCTGCGGTGGCGCGGTAGAATCGGGCTTCGCCATTTGCGAGGCACATGGAGGATCTATGGTACGGGGTAACAGAGTGCGGTTGAGCTCAGCCACCGAGGCAGTTGGGTCCTTCAAAGGTAGGGTAACTTCTCTTAAAGAGTCCGTAGGTGAGGAAGGAAGCACCACTTTCTCGGGAGCATTTTGAATAAATATCACCCTGGAACAGTTGGATGTAATCAGTGTGGGATGAGTTTCTACTCCAGCAATATTGTATGCTATCTGGATATCTATACACAAAAATGAAGGGAGGTGGAAAAGTATTATGGCACCTACCTATTAAATGCTCGCCACTTTCTGCATAATGTAATATACGCTTTGCATTGAATATACATAAAAACTAATCCGCCAGTAGAACCAATCACGACGACTATCAATTTGGTCCAGAAGGACCAGTCGACGAATCCGCGTCGGGCCTCCTCTACGGATCGTTCAACGAGTACATATAACGACCATGCCACGCAGAGCGCGGCTACAGCGTGAAAAGCGACTGCGCACCATAATTTCCGCACTTCCAGCGCGGACATCTCGAGCTTCTCCCACTGCAAAGATATTATACACCTCATTTATATTTGACAAATTGTAACATGACAGGTACTTTTAATTCTCGGAAGAAACTTTTCTACGCGATGAAACAAGATCGCCTACCTCGCAAAACGGTTTTGTCTTGGCATGCATGATAAATGTGAATTTGCACAATTCGCAGGCGCGCGTGTCTGAAGCTTTTATCCATTGTTGAAGACAAGCTTGATGCACGTAGCGCAGACTGCCACTGCAATAGCAAGGTGCTAACAAAGGGGCACCTTCCTCACCCTCGCAATGACAGATCCTATTTTACAAAACGCATAAGATTTTCTCACAATGAAATAAAGATTGTACACGTATAGCTCTAAACGGTACGCTGTACAATCGTGTAATGATAAATGATAGAACTACGATCTATTTACCTGCAAATATCATGGTTAGTCGAAGACAATGTGCTGACGGATGAGTGGCAATCATCTGGTATGATAGTAACTACTGTACCATAAGCAAAATTCTGAAATGAGTATATTTCTATGAGTCACAACAGGAAGAGGTCATTATCAAGGTACTCTTATCTTTCTATATGATTTATGTCAACACACAAGTACTTTCCAGATAATATGTTATCGGGATACATTAATAATCATCAAGGTAACATAAAATTATAATATCTAAGAATATAAAATATCCCGTTTTAAACATTGCGCTTTATGTCTGTTTTCGCATAATGCTTTTGTACTTTAATTGATTCAATTCCTTTATTTTTGGAGCATAATATACAATATGACCTCTACTAACTTTTTGAACTGCAGATTCTTCAGTCTATATTTTGAATCTTTTTAATGAAAATAAAATGCGAGATAAATTGTCATTTGTCACAAAATTATCTTTGTATTTAATTCTTAAGTTAGAATTTTGTCAAAGTACAGTTTACTTGAAATTAACTGAAAAATATGATTTTATTTTTAGTTGCATTTTCAAAAAAAATTTTTATTTCCAGTCATATAAAATAACTCAAGAGTTAGGTAGAATTAATGTTTCTGCATAAAGGCAAACATAAAGTAAAAGACACACACGTTCCATATTTTTCATAAAGATTTAAAAGAGCTAAATAAAATAATGCATGTTAATTCTCAATAGAATGATCACCTGTGGTATCCATTCTGATAGAGCTTCTCCACCAGCGGGACTCGTATTATTGGAAGGACTAATTGACAATGGTGGTTGCCAATCAGGCGGATTAACATTAATCTGATGAACCGGCATTACTCTCCAACCTCGCCAAATATAATAATCACTGACAATAAAATTTGATTAAATGTATCTTGAATACATGGTTATTACGTTTTTTTGGTATGTGTCTCGACGCCAAAATTGCAGTATTATATATTTATTCGTATCGTTCAAGCATTATTCAGCCTTTAACATCAAAATGTTGTATAGCCTGAAATCAAATGTACAAGTGTTACGTTTATAAACAGATTTATAAATAACATACATAAAATTATTTGGTACAAAAACATTATATATACATATACAAACACACACATATACGTATATGCTACAAGCTACATTCAGGTGTGAATTCTTTACATAATTATGTAACTATAATCTGTTTGCAGTAGCAACTTTTATCCACACATATGCACGCACACACGCACGCACGCGCGCGCACACACACACACAACACATATGTTATGTATACATTTTACCAGTATGTCTGCCAAACGTATTCAAGTTATTAATGTCTACTTGGCGAATGAATAATTAACTTCAGATTGAAACGGTCCGTTTGATAAATATTTAATAGATTAACGGATATACTCGACGAATAATCAGTTTATCAACGAATATCCAATGACACTTAGCGTAAGTTTAAATATGGTAAGATATAGATTTTTTTTCTTCTCGAGAAAAATTTGTGGTAATCGAGCGTTGTTAAACCAAGTCGCTCCACGAACGAGATCGGGGAAGCTAACTGGCGTGCGTCGCGCTGCGTCGCAAATCGCGAGATCCCCTCGCGTTTTGTGCGAGAGCGAGCCGCATAAAAACGCTCGTCGATATCGCCCCGCGCGAGAGATTTCAGCGGCGAACCGTAGGAAGAACAAGAAGACGAGAAGGAAAACAAAGCGTACACCGATACGTCACGTACATACACGCTCCTGCCCACCGTAGTCGCCCGTCCTGTGTTGTCCCTCGGTCGGAGCGAGTCGGAGTCTTCCGTCGGCCAAGTGACGAGGATCCGCCGGGCGGCGAAATTATTCACGGACCGTGTTTAATATTACTCGCGATGACAGGGAGGGAAAACGGGCGGAAAACGGGTCAGATTTTGACACTTCGCCCTGAGTCAATGACACGACAAACGGGAGGCTCACTCGGTGTGTCTCTCCCTGCGATTCCGCGTGTGCGCCCGCGCCCGCGCGCGCGCGCGCGCGTCGAAGTGTGGCAGCCAAGCCAAGCGGAGTCTAATCGCGTGCCTTGGCACGGCTGGCGTGCACGTAACACCGTCGCGAGTGTGGAAACGCGCTGACACTCGCCGCAATAACTCGCGAGACGACAACACCATGCGCCGTCCTCATCGCAGCGCGCGACCCTTCCACCCCCGCACGGCAAAACGGTCAAAATACAGCTGCGCGTGAACCCGTCCGTCTGCTATGCCGCCATGACGTGACGTAGGCACGGCCTTGGACGCGCCCGGCCAATGGCCGGCCGCGTGAGCGCTGTCGGGTAACGTCTCGCCAATAATAGCGCGCGATTTCGAATCCCGCTGCTAGTCGCGGCCACGCAACGCCGGCTGATATCTTTTACCGCCGATAATACGCGGGAGTTTCTGGTTATTCGCTGTCCAATCACGATAATCCATCAATCACGAGGCTCCACATGTCATTTATCTTAAATTAAGGAATATCTATTTACGAAATTTTCATATCTTCGGTCTTTTGTATCGCGCGCGAGCATGGGCGAATCCGCTTAATTTGCGCAAAGATGTAGGAAAGAATCGGAAAACGTAATCACAGAGGAGAAAATTTTATTCACTTGTAAATTCATTACAACGTTTAATAATAATTCAAAGGATAATAATTCAAGAATAATAACGATTCGAAGAATTGCAGATAATCTAATAAAAGAGTAAAAATTAAGCCTTTTTACTTCGCACATTGAGCAAAGATATAAAAATATATATACATCTCTATACATATATATATACATAATGTACACATACATATATACATTAAATATGTACATATATATATAATATATTGTGTAATATAATATATTATATATACGATATTTAATGTAATGTTATATGACAATATATATTACATATAATACATATAATACAATATACATGTGCTCTTAAGTTGTACAAACGTATAACATACATCCTTATATATATATAGTATTTAGAACTACATAGAAAATTTCATCAATCTTCTTGGTAACTGATAAATTTGATTGTAATATCAAATCGTTCCGAATTGTCTTTATATATGTACAATACAAGTAGTGTCATTTTTTTCTCTGTATTGCGAGTGTATTAAACAGATATGCATCCGTTTTTGAACAACAGATTTTGTCAATTATCACCTGATAGAATATGTGAAAGTTGAAAACTTATTTCCTTTTTCTCACGTCATTTATTAATTTTTGTATTTTAAAATTATTCGATGCTGGAGCTCGACACTGTTTTAGTTAATCTGAAAAAAAAAAACGTAAAATCCTGAGAATTTTTATTTCTAGAATCTAGACCAAGTAGCGGTAGAGATTTATGTACACCCCGTGAATAATGACTGAGTATATTAATAAAAACCTTTAATATAGACACCTCATTATTTACGGACTCGAGTCGATTATATTTCGTTGTGTCGTTTATCTTGTTACCTAGACAATATTATGTAATATAGGTTGTGTTCCGATCTTCCGATATATTCGTCCATTGAACTGTAATATGTACGTTACAAAATAACAATCTGTCAAAACATACTCCAACTGTAATCAGAATATTTATATGTAATACAGATAAAATCATACGATAGAAATTAAAATTGATTGAGGCATATCCTATAATGTACTTACTTAAAATTCCTACAAAAGTTCCAATGAAAAATAATATTGCTTCTATTATGAACATTGTCTATGTTTTTTTTTCTTTGAAAACGTCGAAGGAATACACTTTACCTTTTCAAAGTAGATTTTAATTTGGGACAAGATTGCCTTGTCTAAGTTATTGTGTCTAAGCAGAGAATGGAAAGTAATTATTCTCTTATGAGAGTTAACAGATATCTAAAGGTTACATACTTAAGTAACGTAAACAAATAATATATACATTATGGGTCATTGTATAAATAAGAAAACATATACACTTATATATTAAATTACAAATGTAATTATATTAAATTAAATTAAGATAATTAAAAGACGTACTAAATCTCTTTCTAATTACATTTTAATACTATAGCATGAAGTACATAATTTATTTTGAAAATATAACTAATTATAGTAATATAAACTAACTTGACTCTCTCTGTAATCACCTTATTTCTTAAAAATTAAGATTTGTTTATAGGCTAATAAATAAAAAGTGTTCAGCACTTCTCTTAATATTATAAATTAACAATTCTATGTCCAGAGTAATGAGTCAATTCTAAGCAGAATTGTAAGACTCGTAATGTGTTCTCGTAAAACTTGTAAGAACTTATGACTAGTATTCTAATTTTATGCGTATGTATCATAAGACATATGATTATTTGTAGATATTTATAAATAATCGTACGTCTTAAGAAGCTGTCCGTAAAAATATTGATATAAAGGTACTTAAAAATTCTTACAAGTCTTACAAGAATATGTTACAATTTTGCTTAGAATTTAGGCATAAGTTTCCAAATGAAATATGAATAAATAAAACGTATACATTAAATGTTTTCTTAAACGACAAAATATTGTAAGAACCTCTCTGTGAAAAGTTTGTTTTAATGTATAAAAACATAATTGAAACATTTACAACTGCCAATTTATGTATATATAAATAAAGTTACAAAATGAAATATTACAAAAAGATATGGAAGGGCTTATAATGTTCTACAATATTTAAAGATATAAACGAGTACAAGATTTTAAAGCTATAGTTGCTTTACAAGTTGGGCATTTTTTAGCTGTTTGAAGGAATGTCTGCAAACATTCTGAACAAAACAGATGTCCACAACGAGTAGTATAAGGTTTTAGTTTGGAAGACAATGCTTCTAAGCATATTGGGCACATAAGAGGTACTGGTTCTTTAGCATCTGATTGAACTATGTAATGTGGTTTATCTTCTTCAATAGTATCATCAAGGGTTAAAACTTCACTTGAGCTTGCAGCCCGAGAAACTTTTCCTTTCTTTTTAATATTTTTCCTAAAAATATATTTTTAGCCTTAATATAAATCTATTTACTTTTCATTAAGAAGTCAATAAGGTATATACAAACGTTTGAGTATTTTGTGTATTTCCTAAAACAATAGGAGATATAGGTCTTCTATGATGATCCGAAATGCTGGTTACATTGTCACTAGAAGATATATCTTCGGCATTTCTCTGACATGGTCTTGAACATCTGACTGAACTTGGCGATTCCTTAGTTAAATCGATAATATCTATTAAAGTAGGCGAAACATCTATCACTGAATCATCCATGGTATCATTTGTATCTTCCATTATGTATATATATGTATTAAATCTAAAAAATGTAGAAAAATTAGGATATATTTATATATATAATTTTGCTGCTAATTATAAAAACATCTAAATCTAATTCTAATTATAATTAAATATAATTAAATTATATTCATTATATTTATTATTATAAAAATTATATATATATAAAATCGGTAGAAGCCGTTTTATTTAAAATGTAGTTCATCTTTTGCATGATGACAAAAACGTATAGGTTAAGTTATGATGATATTACTCGTTTCTATAATTTCAAATCGCAAAGATTTAACAAACATAGGTTTGTCGTTAACAGGTATTGCATATGACATATGAGGCACATACCTACTTGACAAAAATTATTTTAGAATTTCTGGTTACACTTCGTCACGGTTACTAAAATTGTTTTTCAAATCTCAGCTGTCTCTCTTCGAGTGTCTCCACTCTCCAACTGTCTGAAACTATTCTCTTGGACTCTTGCAATGGGCGCATTCAATGGACTCAACAGTTAAGTGAGCTTTCGCTGTTACTGGTGTATTCTTTTAGATCATCCAATCAGAAATTTAGATCTAGAAGAAAACGTCAATTGCAGCAAACGCTCACTCAATGGGTGCATTCAGTACTACAACCCCTCACTGAGCGCTCAGTGAGCGCTTGCATCTTATTGGTATATTCCGTTAGAACTAAAAATATAGACCAAACAGATACAAGAGTTCACTGAGCGCTCAGTGAGCGATCGTGGTACTGGCTGCGTTCAGCAGAACGTTTGTTTTGTAACTGTTGAAAGTTTCCTTCGTGCTAATTGGATCATACTTTTAGATCTAGAAGAATGGTCCTATCTCAGCAGATAATCATAAAACGGTTGCAAAACTGTTGAGTCTGCTGAACGCAGCCACTGAATGCACCCAACGACTCAACTGTCAAGTCTGCAATGGTCTGTAGCCAAGAAGACTAGAACTAAGGAGGATCAACTCGCGTGGTGGGGGTGAGTCAAAAAACGTCCGCGGCTATTCACACGATG